GAGCTGTCTTCCAGCAGATCAGCAGCATCAGACAACAAAGGCTACCATTCATTTCCTACTTGCTAGCCTAGCAAGTGGGATTCATCAATACGTTTTACTTTCTATATCCTTTTATTTTATTATTATATTCATTGATGCCTTGCAGTTTATTCCTCCCCCAAAATCCTCTTTTTGTTTTTATTAGTCTGTTTTGATTCTTTTCAAATCTGTGCTCTCTCACAGCGTGAATTCCATTCACTGTGCAGGGAAGCACAGCATATATTGCATATTATAATATAGAAACATATACATACATTTATATATTTTTATTTTATTTATTACATAAATACATTACATAAATACACATAGATATACATATATTACATAAATCGGATAACATTACAGAAGAACACAGATTTTCCAGCACACCAAGACAAAGATGCTATGAAATACACCATGAAGTATGCTGGAAGGGTAGCTGGCAAGCCTTCAGGGAGGAGCAGAAGAGGGGGTAGAGGGAGAGCTGTAAGATCCCCTCCACCCCCCAACTGAGAGGCAGCATCTTTGCTACAACAATCAGGCATGAGGCTTCCACTAGTTCTACAGGCAGCAAGGAGAAGGGAGCAGTGTCAGTGCCACTGCCTATGCCTGAGTCTGCATCCCCTCCAAGAGCACCAGCCATAACCCTCACCACCACCATGACAAAAAGCAGCAGCAGCAGCATGACAGTCTCCTCCACCCTCATTTCACTTCACATGCTGAGCCCTCCAGTGCCAAAGGAAGAGCTGGAGCTGGATCTGAGTGTCATAGCAAGGGAAATTCTGGGGAAGAAGAGGGAATCATCTGAATTTGTGCTCCACACCCCTCAAGTTTCCCCTAGAGCAGGGGTGGGCAAAATGCAACCTGCAGGCCAGATGCAGCCCACTGGGCCATTCTATCCAGCCCATGAGGCCCCTAAAAAATTTAGAAAATTAATACTTATCCACCCCTGGATGCCTGTCATGTGGCCCTTGATGGCTTGTCAAAATGAAATAATTGCCTGCCCCTGCCCTAGGGCTAGGTTTCCTTCCCCAGAAGGCACTTCGGAGGAGGCTGAAGTAGAGGGTGCAGAGGCAAGTGGCTCACCTGAGTCCACTCCTCCTGTTGCTGTGCCTCTGCCTGCTGAGGAGGGGGAAAAGGCAGCATCCACACATGTACCCACACCCAGAAGCAAGCAGGTAGTGTGATCTAAGATCATTTTGAGCTGGCAGATGATCCACATATGCTATCTGCTTGCACTGTCAAGCCAAAACCAGCCAGGGCAAGGGAACAAAACACATGAGTACCACGGGGATGCTGATGCATCTCCACAGGCACCACCCCCTTTCCCTTGCTGCTCCTCAGCCTGGCACCAGTGGGAGCCCCTGTCCTCCCAAAGCAGAGGCAGGCCACCCTGGAACAGTGGGGGAAAGGTGGACAGAAAGCGGGGCTTGTTGCAAAGGCAAGCGATATCACCCAGAATATTGGGGAGATGCCTGCTGTGGATGGACAGTTCTGCTCCTTAGTTGAGTGGCCAGGGTTCAGGTGGCTCATGGCACTCGTGGCCCCATCATTCCAAGTGCCCACACGCACCACCTTCAGCAGGACGGTGGTATGAGGCATGCAAGGAGTACTTGAGGGAGGAGCTGTGCAAGGCAGGTCCTCAGGTGGCCTTACACTTTACCTCAAATATCTGGAGCAGCCGGAGTGGAGATCATGCCTACCTCTCCCTCACAGGGCACTGGCGCAGCCAGTCAGGCCATCAGTGGACTCTCCTTCAAGCCGAGGTGATGGATGAGTCCCACATGGCAACAAAGATCATGGGGACCATGAACTGGTTGGTGCAGTGGTGGCTCATTGGGCAGGGCAAGCTCACCCATGGGTTCATGGTCACCAACAGCGGGGTATGCAACAATGGGGTCAATATGGTCAAGGCAGTCTGTGATGCCAACTTTGTTGACATCTGCTGTGTAGCACATAAGTTCCACCTCATTGTCAGGGATGCCTTGGAGGGGGACAGGGCTGCCAGTGATGGCACCAGCACAACCAGCAAACTCATTTTGAAATGCAGGAAGGTGGCAAGCTACTTCCACTGAAGCATCAAGGGGGATAAGATACTGTGGGACAAACAGACAGAGGTGAACATCCCACAGCATAAAATCATGCAGGATGCAGAGACCTGGTGGAACTCCACATCCATGATGCTTAAGAGGCTGGTGGAACAACAGAAGGCCATCCATGAGATGGCCTTGCTCGGGAAGATTGGGATCGGTGGCCCCCTTAACAGAGCTGAGTGGGATACTATCTCCCAGATCTTGGTGGTCCCCAAACCCTTCCTCAAGGCCACTGAGACCCTCAGCACTGGCTATGCCCTCCTTAGCCAGGTGGTCCCTGTAGTGAGGGAACTTCAGAACCAAATGGAGAAGTTCCAGGGGATCAATGTTCCTGGCTGGGGCAGACCACTGTCACCAGACATGCAGGCACTGGTGAGGCGGCTGAAGAAGGGCATCAGGAGATGGCTGGATCCCTTGTGGTTCAGACCGCCATGTGTGACCTGAGGGTATGCAGCAGCTGAAGCCTGAATCAGTGGGTGGAGGTGCTGGTGAAGAGAGTCAGGGAGGCAGAATGGCAGAGGCGGGGGGGGGGGGGAGCGGGCACAGGCACTTCCAATGTGGGCCAAGGGCATGGCTTCCATGATGGGGTCCAGAGGCCCCAGACCCCACCATCAGGCAGGTAGTGATCAGGCCTTGGTGGCTGCCTATCTCACTGAGGACGTGGAGCCACTGCTGTGCAACCCCTTGGCCTACTGGGCAAGCTGCAGCCAGATGTACCCAGATCTGGCCACAGTTGCCCAGGAACACTTGTCCTGTCCACCAACCAGTGTTCCACTGTAAGTAAGAGGGTGTTCACCATGCTGGTGATGTAGTGACACCCCACTGCACCTCCTTGGATCCTGGTTTGGTGGAGCAGCTGGTGTTCCTGAAGGTGAACCTCCCACTGCTGGGGTTGCCCAAGCTCCACCTGCAGACAGAGTGAGTGCCACCCTCCTCACTCCATCCGCACCCATTTCCTTTTTTTAATTTTTTAAAAACCATTTAATGCTCTGCTCTCAGAGCTGGAGGCAGCACTCACTACAGCACCAGCCAGCAAGGGAAGACCATGTCCCTGCTGAGCTCCCATGCCATGACAAACTTGAAGGTATGGAGAAGGAGGAGGCCCCAGGTCCTGGGAATGACCACAAAAACTGCACTCTACCAGGGTCGGGAGGCCTGGTGTGACTGCTGGCAGCATGGCAGCCCCAGGAAATGCCAGGACAGAAGATCCCCCTGGTGAAAGGCGTGTAGAAGGTGCCATAACCTCCAGCCACCACACACATGCACACAGTCCTGGCTGGGGAAAGCCCAGGCCCGTCACATCTTTGACATGCCTGAGGCTTGCTGGTTGCTGTGGAGTTGTAAGGCTCCAGGTGAGCTCAGCTTAGCTGCCTGGGATGCCAGCTTTTGGGTTGAAAAGGCTGAGGAAGAACCTGCAATTTGTGTGTGCTGTTCCTGGATGGAAGGAATAGTAAAGAAGCCAAAGACTGGCATGCAATGCAGGCAAGAAAGCTAGTCAGTGAAAATGGAAATGGAGGCATCAGGGGGTGAGGGACAGCCTGGGATGGGGGGAGGGAGGGGGATGTAGCAGGTAAAAGTAAAGAGGTATCTGGGGAGGCAGATGTCCAGCAGGTTGTAGTGTGTCAGAATTCCAATGTCTATATTGAGTCCATGAGTTTCTGTACCTAGAAGGTTGATGAAGTGCAGGTTGTAGGCTCATCTGTGAGGGTAAGATGCAGCTCCCCTCTCCATATGACCCCTAGAAAGGCAGCCTGGTCCACTGATGGCCACCGCCTCCTGCCCCTCTGGGCAGTATGGGAGCAGCGGCTGGGTCCTGGGGGCACCTTTGCACATCCTTCCCCAAGCACACACAGGCCAGGCTGGGCAGGAGCCCTGGGAACAAATCGGGAGAGGCAGAGCACGTAGGAGTGCACCTAGGGCTCAGCCAATGTCCCCACACTGCCCAGAGGGGTGGGAGGCCATGGACATCAAGGGGCCAGGCCACCCCTCTGCTGGTGCCCACCACATGGGCCTCATCCCCTGAGGGGCTGCCAGGACTGGAGAGCTGCTTCCAGTCTCAGGCTGGGTGGCTGCTGCCTCTACCCATGTGGAGCAGTGTGCAGACGGTGCAGCCAGGGCTCCCCATCCCACCTGCACCAGCTGCTGGGTGTGTGCCTGTACCTGGTGCCCCCAGCCCTGGATTTCCTTACCCCGTCCCAATTTTTCTTTTCTTTTTTTTTTTTTTACTTTGCCTTTCTATACATTTTGATGATTACCAATGGAAATATTTTTCCGTCAGTCTGCAAGTGACATGTGATATTGATCTTTATTGATTAAAAAAATCAAATCCTGCCAAACTTAGTTATATACTAGTGTTGCTCAAATTGTCCCACAAGCCAAATCTAGCCTGCAAAGCTAGAAAACCCACAGGTCTCAAAATTTGGTGGCAGAAGAGCAGTGGGAAGATTAATGAGCACGGCAATTAATATTTCCATAGCCACAGCAATTAACACGCTCTGTGGCTGGATCCAGCATTCAGGGTCAGTCCCATGGACCTATGTCATGTGCCGCCCCATGCTGAAGCTGGTCCACCAACCAACCCCGTCCAACACCCCGGGGCAGAAGGTTGAGCACCACTATTATATACAGCTAAATTATAGATCATCTACCTTTACTCCTTTAAAACTGACTATAGTTATATTTTCTCACGTGTGACTAAATGCAAGAATTACCCCGTTAAAGAAAGCATTAATAATATGCCAGCTGACACTTCACACTTTTATGTTCAGCTTTGTGGTTATATCATTCAGGCTCACTCAGAGATGAAGATTATCTCCACTCCTACTGTTAATGGAGTATCCCCAATCTTGATGTTGACAGTTGACGTTTCCCCCATATGAGGTCATCTGATCATAAATAGACAAGGATGTGATTGACAGCATGAGAGGGTGTTTATAATGTTGACAATTATTATGCCATTGACTTGGACAGCACTTCATTCTATTGCAATCTGAGAGGTGTTACGTACTCTGGTAGTGTATGGCAGGTTATTTCTGATGAAGATAGCAAGGCCATGGATCCTGCTGGCTACAGAGTCTGCAAAGCTGTAGCCTCCCCACCTCATCTTCCACAGCTGTCTTCTAGAATGACTGCATGTGGTTTCATTTCCCTGGTGATACATTCCAGCACTGATTGCTTGAGCAAGGTAAACGTCAAGTTGAAGAACAGTCAAGCTTTCCTCTTGTAGATAGGAGCGGTTGCTCTGGGTCATCCTGTAGTTAGTATATCAAAAGTGGAAAGTGTGTGTTGAAACTGGAAGAATTAAAAGTCCAATTGCCTTGGTAGTGACTTTTAGTTTTGCTTTACAACTATTCACGGGAGGAACCATGAGAAGGTAGTCACTATTGCCCCTATATACATGACCCGAAGACACCACGTACCTTCCATTCTAGACAAGGGAACATTCAGACAAACCCCAATCTTGCCTGGTGGAAGGACGACCCAAGTAAAATACCTATAAGAAAAATATTTGTCAAGTTTCCATCATCCCAGCAAAGACACTTACTCATCAGTATTAACAATATGATTTTTCAGCCCACATTATACAGACCAGCTCCAAGATGGAACTTCCAGAAGGGAGACTGGCAGAAATACCAAAGGCTGACCAATAAGAGAGCAAACCAACTAGAGGGTCCATCAAAAACCACCACTCATCAAGGCTACAATACATTTACAAACTGCATAATTGAAATAGCCAAATTCTGTGTACCTAGAGTGGGGTGGGCAATTATTTGGGCCAGAGGACCACTTAGGCAGGGCATGCTCAGCCAGGTGGACGGGATGGGTCTGCAGGTATGCCTGTGTGGGTCCATGGAGACCCCACTCACCCACTCCATCAAGCACCCCCAGCAGTGGGTGACACGTAGACAGGCCTGAGAGCCTGAACAGCAGGGCTGGATCTGGTGGCAGAAGAAACACTAGCAGTGGCACCCTGAAGGAGACACCACTGCTGCCAGGGCTACAGGGAAGCAGAGTCCAGCCACCATGCTGCCTTAGCCCTACTGATCACCTGGGGGTGGCAGGACCGGCTGCACATGCCACGGCCTGGGCTGCCCCCTCCCCCCTCCCATGCCTGAGCCAGGTGCACATGCCCACCCCCTGACCTATATACTATAGAAATCATTATGTGCCATGCTGAAATGAGCCATCTGACCAACTTTAGCATTATCAAGCAATGCAATGACCCTAAGACTGTAACAAGACCTACAAAACATCTGGCTACCACATTGAACAACATCAAAAAGGAGAGATGCTTGCTACCCTAGAAGCATTGGATATGACTCACTCAACCAGATAAGCATGAAGCACCATTAACCACTCTCCAGGTAAAGGCACCAAAAAAATGACATTTTCCTGTATCAGCAAACTCCATCATGAAAACACTGTGCAACAACTGCAAGTACAGTAACCCAACCAAGTAACACACAGGAGTGATTAGATATCTGATTCACAAAAAAATTAAATCACCCTACACCAACCTGAATTTAACCACCCCCATCACGGACAAGTTTGACACAGCTATTAAAGCAATCAAGATTAACAAGGCTGCTGGACCAGATAAAATATTTCCATAATTCATTATCAGGCTCAGAACCACAATGAAAAGATGGCTTCAGAAATTCATGTATAAATTTCTAGAAAGTAACAGATTTCCAAAATCTAGAGAAAAGCTGACGTCATTGCTATCTTGAATCCCAATAAACCACCAGAGGATCCAAAGAGCTATCAACATATCTCACTACTCTGCATTACATACAAACTCATGGAGTGCATAATCCTGAATAGAATAAAGAACATCATTGATCCCCAGTTCCTAAAACAGCAAGCTGACTTTCAGAAAAAGCAGAGTACCACTGATCAAGTTACATTACTTGCAATTGACATAGAAAACAGATTTGAAATGAGGCAGAAAACAGGCTGTCTTTATCAACTTCACAAATGCCTAATGACACTGTGTGGCATCGAGGCCTCAAATATAAAACTACACTCTATGACACCTGACTGCAAGCTATGCGCTTTCATCATGAACATGATCTCCAGCAGATCATTCACACTCACAACTAGCCAAGGAGAAGAAAAGCAGAGTATGAACTCTGAAGAATGAAGTCCCCCAACGGTCAGTTGTAGCACCAGTACTTTTCAATGTATATATCTTAGACCTCCTGCATACAACATCTAAGTGATACATGTACATTGACAATGTTGCCATAGTAGCCCAAGGAACAGACATGACAGAACTGGAAAAGACACTGAGAACTGACAAGGAACTCATCTCTGACTATCTCCACAAGTCACACTTAAAAAGTTGAGCATCAATAAATCAGTATCTTCATTCTTCCACCTGAACAACTGTTTAGCCATGAGTATGCTGAATATCACAGTAAACAACCACATCCTTCCCCATGAGCATACCCCAACCTATCTAGGATTCACATTCAGTCATTCCCTCAGCTATAAATATCACATTCAGAAGGTCAGCAGTAAAGTCTTTGCACAGGTAGTAACTTCAAAGTACTCAAAACCACCTCACTTGCACTAGTATAGGGCTTAGCAGAATATTGTATTCCTATATGGTCCAGAAGTTGTCACACTAAAAAGTTCAATGCTGTATTTAACAGCACACAGAGACTCATAACAGGCTGCACAATACAGATGTCCTCCCTGTAATCTTGGCCATTCGACCAAGTGGTATAAGAAGACAGACCCTAACATCATTACTAGCAATATAGGCAAAAGATGATAAAAATCACCTGCTCCAACAACTATTAACTAAAGTCCTGAACAGAGAGAGGTTTAAGAGGCTTGAAAGTAATAAACCATTTGTACAAGAAGCCCACAAGCTCCTGGAAGAGATTGGGGATGCTCAACCAAAACTATGGGCAGCAGTGGAATGGGCCAACCACTGGGAAAAGTCAGACCTATTCCTACAGTGTTTTATACCAACATCAAACAAGTCCCCCATTGGGCACAACCTTGACAGGGAAGTGTGGGCCAACCTGAACAGACTGAAATTTGGATACAGATGCTTCAGAACAACACTTCACGAGATGAACATCTTAGCACCCTTTGTAGATGTGGTGTCCAACAAACAGCACAGCACCTACTTGAAAGCTGCTTTCTTTACAAATGCCCAGACAGAGTAGATAAAATCCACACACAGTGATAATACCAACCAGTGGCTCATAGATTTGATATTTTGGTATCTTATGCCATATAAAGAAGAAATTGTCTTGTGGTAAGGAGCCTCTTACCTCTGTCAACCTGTCCATGTTCTTCTCAGTCCATTTTTATGGGTGCTCTTTGTTTATAGGATTACATTTCTGTCATCATAATTAAAATTTTAAACTACATAGAAATTGCTAAGAAATTACTTTAGTCAAGCAACCAAGACCTGACTCTTCAGAAAAAGGATAAAGTCTGATAAGAACAAAGGGTTGAGAGGAATAAGCAAGCACAGTAACACTTGCTTAAGGAGGACAAGAGCAACAGAGTCCCTCTTGTTGTCACCTACATCCCCCAGCTTGAAACACCTTAGACATCAGTTCCAAAAACTCACAAAAACCTGTGGCAAAACACTTTAATCTTCATGGATATTTTATCACTGACCATAGAGTACCTAATCATATACAACCAAACTTTAAAAACCAACTTGAACACAAAATTGCTGAGCAAAAAGCCATCTACCAACTGGATTGTGATAAAGTCTCTGCAGAGACTCTAGATTCTTAACTCGTTACCTGAGCTAGCTTGTATAACTTCTATGTCCTTCAGTGGGTTAACAGCTTTTGTTTATCCCTTTTGATCTCTTTCAAGCACCTTTGCTTCTGTCACCAGTGCCTCCCCCTTTCCCTATCCTTTACTTTTAAATGGCTTTATTCCTTTATATTTAGTACCCCTGCTCTTTTGCAAGACCATGCCTCTCTGAACAAGTTAGTTTACAATGTGCCATCCTGCCTTGCCTTCTGCATAATTTCAGACTACTGTGGGCATCCACCTCCCTCTACTTGTTTGAGAAGGTAGAGAGAATTTTCACTAAGACAGAAGATCACTTTCACTTGCTTCTGGTGCTACCTTAACTTCCATTTTCAAGGCTCTCCTCTCCCAATAGAGTTCTACTGAATCTTTGGCAGGTACTCTATTTGGACTGAGCATCTTCCCCAATAAGGAAAGAATATGCCATCATCATGCTGAAATACCCGGTTATCTTCCAAAACTCTAAATATACCAGTACAGACATGTCAGAATAGTACTCCATTAATTAGTTTTACCAGGTGTGTCTACACAAGATGTTTACTGCACAGTAGACTAGCTGCACAGTAAATGTCTCAGTGTCTACACACGTGCCCCTATTATGCGGGAGTAAACTAATTTACTCCGAAGCAGGAAAGTACTTGTATTTACTATAGTACTATCCTGCTGCGGAGCAATACTTGTACTTAGTACTTGTATTTATTTAAAAGTACTATCCTGCTGTGGAGTAAAAACTTCACAGCAGCACACAAGTAGCTGCTGGAGGGGTTGCCTGGGCCTGGCTGTGGCATGAGGGTGCTTCAGCATGGGGGCTACCTTCTGGCCAGCCCCTACACTGAAGCACCCTCGTGCCCCAGCCAACCCCTCCGCAACACATTAAACCAGAAGCAGCAGCCCCAGGCTGGCAGGCTGGCCCCCAGGGCCCCCTGCCAGCCAGAGCTGCTCCACCCTAGCTCAACGTGCTGTGATCCTACATGCTTATGTAGATGCATGCCCAGCAACAATAACCTCCAGAGCTTATTGCTGTGCATTAATAGGCACATGTAGATGTGCCCACTGAAAAGGACCAAGAGCCTAAGCTACCTCAAGTTTGTTCAGAGCTAACTCAAATAGCTCTGTAGCTAATGCATTATCACAGACAGACATACCCCATGTTAATAAACATGAATTTTTAAAATATGGCCTCCTGAGGAACAATTATTTCAGTTTTAAAAGATGAATCACAAAACTGTGCAAGCTCATCTCAGAATCACCTGGCAACAAATTCAAACTATTGGATGCACCTTCCATTTCCTAGAAGTCAGTATACACATCATTGGGGTTTCAAACCAAAGTAGCTAACAAAGCAGCAAACAAAAGGAAAAGGCTCTTAATATAATTTTTCTTCTTCTCCGTCTGAAGTGGCATCAGAATCCAACACCAGCTGCTCTAAATAGGAATCCACTAAAATCATAAAACAATCATAATAAACCCATCAACTGTTGTAGCCAGGACAAAGCCTCCCTGTTACATTTGTCTCATAATTAATTACAGCAAAATAAACTGAAACTGTTTATATACTGGCTACCCTCTGTATGGCAACCTCGTTCATTTAAAGTTTACTCAAACTTATTGCCCATTTGAGACCTAAATCTGGATTATTGTGTGTGGAAAAAAATAAACGTGCTTGGCCTGAATCTGTTATTATTTCATAAAGAATTGGAA